TGCCCGCCCGCCCGCCCGCCCGCTCACGTGATAACATAATACGTCGCCGTCTTCGACGGGCGTATAAAAACAAAATTACCGGTATTGTGTTCATGTACACGTGTGGCGTTCTATATCAGTATGTGTGCATCCTGTCTACGTATATACATGTATATACGTTGATCTGTTTCCCATCCTATATATCTCTAGCGTTCTATATCTGTATGTGTGCATCCTGTCTACGTATATATACACGTAAACAGGATGCACACATACATATATAGAACGCTAGAGGTATATAGGATGGGAAACATATCAAAGTATATATACACGTAAACAGGATGCACATATACTGATATAGAACGCTAGAGATATATGGGATGGGAAACAGATCAACATATATATATACACGTAGACAGGATGCACACATACAGTTATAGAACGCTAGAGATATATAGGAGGGGGAACAGATCAACATATATATATATGTTGATCTGTTCCCCCTCCTATATATCTCTAGCGTTCTATATCAGTATGTGTGCATCCTGTTTACGTGTATATATACGTTGATATGTTTCCCATCCTATATATCTCTAGCGTTCTATATATGTATGTGTGCATCATGTCTACGTATATATATATATGTTGATCTGTTTCCCATCCCATATATCTCTAGCGTTCTATATCAGTATGTGTGCATCCTATCTACGTATATATATATGTTGATCTGTTTCCCATCCCGTATATCTCTAGCGTTCTATATCGGTATGTGTGCATCCTGTCTACGTATATATATATATTTGTTGATCTGTTCCCCATCCTATATATCTCTAGCGTTCTATATATGTATGTGTGCATCCTGTTTACGTGTATATATACGTTGATATGTTTCCCATCCTATATATCTCTAGCGTTCTATATCAGTATGTGAGCATCCTGTCTACGTATATATAGATGTTGATCTGTTTCCCATCCTATATATCTCTAGCGTTCTATATCAGTATGTGAGCATCCTGTCTACGTATATATAGATGTTGATCTGTTTCCCATCCCATATATCTCTAGCGTTCTATATCAGTATGTGTGCATCCTGTCTACGTGTATATATATATGTTGATCTGTTTCCCATCCTATATATCTCTAGCGTCCTATATCAGTATGTTTGCATCCTGTCTACGTATATATATATATGTTGATCTGTTTCCCATCCTATATATCTCTAGCGTTCTAGATATCTATACCGTTGAGTATCTGAAAATCTGTGCTCCGTTCTAGATAACTATACCGTTCAGTATCTGAAAATCTGTGCTCCGGTCTAGATATCTATATCATTCAATATATGAAAATATGTGTTCCGTTCTAGATATGTATACTGTTCAGTATCTGAACATCTGTGCTCCGTTCTAGATATCTATACCGTTCAGTATCTGAAAATCTGTGCTCCGGTCTAGATATCTATACCGTTCAGTATCTGAAAATCTGTGCTCCGTTCTAAATATATATACCGTTCAGAATCTGAAAATCTGTGCTCCGTTCTAGATATATATACCGTTCAGTATCTGATAATCTGTGCTCCGTTCTAGATATCTATACCATTCAGTATCTGAAAACCTGTGCTCCGTTCTAGATAACTATACCGTTCAGTATCTGATATAGTCTGTGTTCCAGTCTATATATCTATACCGTTCAGTTTCGATAATCTGAACTCTGGTCTAGATATCTATACCGTTCAGTTTCGATAATCTGAACTCTGGTCTCTCTCTCTATATATATGATTTAATCTTGCTTGTAATAAGCATTTTCATTGGCTTAAAAATTTATGATATCAGCCCATAACGAAAAAATAATGACGTCGCCGTTAGGAACGTCGCTTTTGATTGGCTTATACAGCAGCGCAATAATTTCCAAGAGAAAAGAATCCATCAATTAAAGTCTATTCCACAGGGATTGTGTAAAGTAGATTAAATTATAAGGATTAACATGAATATATTTTTCATGTTATGGAGATATAACACACAAAAACCGGAGTGTACTCTCATCATAAACCGCTTTCCAATCCTTAAATAACATTTATTATCTGAAAACACTATGTTCTATATATGTTTGTAATTTGTGTGTTTTATATCCTGAAATTTTCACACAGCCTGTTACATAACTTCGTCCGTTTGAAATCGACATTAAAACAACATAAATCTCAAATATTATTAATATCGATTTCGTTTGCTGTTGTATGATTAATATATCTGTTGTGGCACGTACCTTCATCAGCTGTTGCATAACAGACGAGGAGTCGAACAGGCCACAGTACAGGGCCACCACTGTCGACTGTAGGCGGGGGAACAGGTTAGCTACCTATAATAGAAAGGGTTACAACAAATTGGAGAGTTTTCAACATCTTTAAAACATGAAAACTATGTCTTATTTTCATTACGTATACACGAGATATACCTCTTTATTAACAAGTTTGATTAATAGTTATATAGACTAAATTGTATTGGTATGCAGGTTGTCTCAATGTACCTACAGCCAACTTTTTAAATTATTTTAAGGATTCCTGCACCACTGTCCAAAATTGTAACCACGCATTGGACACATTTTTTAACGTATAACTATACATGTAGCTTTGATAAATAATTTTTACAAAGAAAGCCATGCATTGCGGTATTAAATAGAGAATAGCACACGGTAAAATTTATATCACATGCCATATCAGCCCAAGGACCCAATATCAGACCGAGGGCTTTACAAGGAAACCCATACATTGCGCTATTTTTATTAAAACACAATAAAGAGTAATCAAACCAAATACAACTGTATAACCAACAACGGTGTTCTAAGCTATTTGATTGGTGCCAGGTAAAAATAAAAACGACCAATCACTAGGCTGATACTTGTCCTTTGAAGATTAAAAAGGAGCCTTGCTCGACTTCAAAGCCTATCATTTTTTGCCGTTACGCGACCGCGAGATTCTTTTGATGTACATCAAAGGACCAAACTAGTCTTCTCGTCTCATCCACAAGGTGCTGCACATTGAGCCTTTAATTTTGCTGACATAATCCAGGGGTGAAGAGAGCGAAAGTGAGCGTAACCCCTGGATATCGAGGATGACCTAACCCAACCTGACATATGTCAAATGTAGCCAAATCATACAGTTTGTTATCGTTGCATGTTTGGTTATCTTACCTGATATGTTGTTATTATTATTAAAAGTTTGTTATTGGTTTTTTTTATTTCGTTATTGTCATTAATAAGCTGTATCCTTATTTAAACCATTATTATTGTTATTATGCTATTCAATGTACGTTCCTGTCAACTCCAGGGCGTAGAAGAGAACGTGACATATATATCGTCCAATGATTTCAGTTATACTGTTCTTTTTCGCATGCAAACATTTATCACGTGAGCTAGTAAAACGTGAATGTGTGATGTGTGTTGAAACCCGAGTATGTATGTATTTGCACACGTGTACCCTCACTCAACAAATCTGTTTCATCATTGACAAGTCACAAAAGACACACACGTTTCATTTTTGTAATGGGGGGCTTGCTTTTGGAAAAACGTTACACGTGATTTATTTCTTAGAAAATAATACATATACGCACATGTATTATTGTTCAAAAACAGATATGTTAAGGAATGACAAGTGTGTTACATCGCCCTTATTTTATTTTTTCATATAAAGTCTTTGCGTATTGCAGTTATCTTCTCTTGTGAGGAGGTACTGGTTGTTACGTCATTTGTTTGTGAGAGTAACGTCATCAACTTTGAGAAAACGACGTAATTTTCTCACACAAACCAATGACGTAACAATAAATACCTGCTCACAAGAGAAGATAACTCTGCAATACGCAAAGACGGAATACACGTCTATCGGTGAATATTAATTTATTTGATCATACAAAGATAAATGGCTATTGGTCTGTAAAATATTATTTAATTAAATAAAAAAGATGTTTATCAGCGTTTATTATTTTATTTTTTATCATATAAAGATAAATGTCTATAGGTGTATACTATTTGATTTGATTGTATAAAGATTTACGCTTTTTATCGGTGTATATTATCTTGTTACAGCCTATAACGAAAAAATGTCTACAGATATAAATTATTTTTATAAGATCAAATAAAGATATATGTTCATCTTTATACATTATCATATTTGTTCATATTAAGATAAATGTTTATCGGCATACTTGAACTTATTTGTTTATTCGTGTATAAAGTGAATGTCAATCGGTGTATATTATTTAAATTGATCAGATATAATAAAAAAATGTGTATTAATATGTGTTATTTTATTTCAACATATGTAGATAAAATCTAGGGGTAAGTATGTATTTTCTTTCTTTATCAGAACGAGCTTTGGTGTCGATGTTCGTACTAAAACGTGGTGTTAGTAGGTCATTATGTACACACCATGTAAACGCATGCCTAGCTGGAAGTTTGTCCACGTTCTAGGCTAGTGTGAGAGTAGGTCGACACGTACTCACTACGTCTTTCAATGCACGGAAGTTTTACACGTGCGTTGCACGCGGTAAGAAATTTTCCGGGATATAATAATAACTTTTATTTCTGTCAAGGACATAGAAACGAATGTCGAAGTATATCATTTTGTATTCACTTCAACTGTATAATTGTATGTTTTTAAAACGTAAATCACGCGTAAAAGAATACCGACACGACTATATTATAGTGAGTCAATGCTACAAGGACATTGTTATTATGAGCAAGTTCAATACAGGATATTATATAAGTCAACGGTACTACAGGTCATCGTTATTGAGTCACTGTAAAAAATGGGTTGTTTATTGAGTAAGAGTAACTCAAGTTTTATGGCGTCAACGAAACCCATGACATCATTATAGAGTCAATAAAATACAGGTACATGAATTATTATTGAGTGAACGTAACACAAGACATTGTTATTGAGTGAACGTATCACAAGACATTGTAATTGAGTTAACGTAACACAAGACATTGAAATTGAGTCAACGTAACACAAGATATTGTTATTGAGTCAACGTAACACAAGACATTGTTATTGAGTGAACGTATACGTAACACAAGACATTGTTATTGAGTCAACGTAACACAAGACGTTGTTATTGAGTCAACGTTACACAAAACATTGTTATTGAGTCAACGTAACACAAGACATTATTATTGAGTCAACGTAACACAAGACATTGTTATTGAGTCAACGTAACACAAGACGTTGTTATTGAGTCAACGTAACACAAGACATTATTATTGAGTCAACGTAACACAAGCCATTGTTACTGAGTCAACGTAACACAAGATATTGTTATTGAGTCAACGTAACACAAGACATTGTTACTGAGTCAACGTAACATAAGACGTTGTTACTGAGTCAACGTAACACAAGACATTGTTACTGAGTCAACGTAACACAAGACATTGTTATTGAGTCAACGTAACTCCGGTGCAAACGCATTATTGAGTCAACGTGGCACAGGTCATTGTATTGCGTCAATGTAACACAGGATTTGTTTTTATTATTTAGTCAAATAACTCGGGTATTTGTGGAGTCAACGTCACCCTTGACATTGTTATAGAGTCAATGAAATACAGGTACATGAATTGTTATTGAGTCATCGTAACTCAGGTGATTGTTATTGAGTCAATTTTCATACAGGTGTTAATATAAGGTCAACGAAACTCAGGACATTGTTATTTAGCCAATGTAATACATGTGTTATAAAATGTATATACAATGTATGGACTCAACGTAATTCATGTGATTGCTATTGAGTTAATTTTCATACAGGTAATTGTTATTGAGTCAATTTTCATACAGGTAATTGTTATTGAGTCAATTTTCATACAGGTAATTGTTATTGGGTCAATTTTCATACAGGTAATTGTTATTGAGTCGGCTAAATACAGATCGTAATTAAATTGAAATAGGAATCGGTGAAATATAGGACATTGCAAAATATGATTCAACGTTATACAAAAAAAAATGGAATTTATGAATTAACATCAGATCTATCGATATGATATCCAACACAGACGGGAACGTATAAGCAGACGAACTGTTTTATTTCTAGCAGTAGTGGAATGCGTGTATAATGCGGGTCTATGAATCATCTTTGCATACAGTGCACATGTGTTCTACATAACTGAAGAACAGTTTTTCTAACTATAAATAGAAACAATAATATTAACGTCAGCCCTGTCCTGTGACTGGTAAGAATGTCCGTTAACAGGGACTACTGACTTTTCTGTGACCCCCGATCGAGTCCACATACACAGTGCCCCAGTCAGATCAGGGTCACAATTCGGGTCATAGGAGTGCGTGACCTCAAGTTGTGCATGCTCAGCAATAATTTGAAAGGACACCCCGTCGTATCAAATACTTCGTTCAAATGAGTCTACATACGTCTGTCCATAACAGTTAAAAATGTGCCTACGTTCATCCTAGTCTAGTTCTCTACATGAATTGCCTGCACGATGGGTATTTTTGATTGCCAGTAGTACACTAACCAAATTCCAAGAGACAATATACAACGGTAGCGGTCGTCACATCTTATATCCGATTTAGGTATAACTTGTACATTTTACATCTAATATGTATATGGTGAGCACGTGCACATTTCATATCTAATATGTATTTGACTTGTAAATGTACATTTTTGAAAATGTGTACATGTACACATCTCTCATGTACATCTAATATTAGACTGGCTACCAGCCCCTAAGATTTTATGAAGGATTTCCTGGCTGCACTTTACTGCTAGCCTATCTCCCCCTAGTTTAGAACTTAGACTGGCCCCGTCTCTAGAATATTGAATTATTTAGGGCAAAGTTAACTCTAATAAAAGCAGAAAAGTATCACTTGGATGTCTGATCCTAGTGGGAGATAAGCTATAAGTAAAATGCAACCAGGAAATCTTTCATAAAAACTTAGGGGCTGGTAGCCAGTCTAGACATCCCAGTGATACAAATTATTAGAGTTAACTTTTTCCTAATTGATTCAATATTCTAGAGACAGGGGCCATTCTAATCTAATATGTATATATGACCTGTTCGTGTATATTTTTGACCATTTGCATATGTGCACATTTCATATCTTATATGACTTGTAAATATACATTTTTGAAAATTTGTACATGTACATATCTTATATATAATATGGGGCAATGAGTAATTCCAACAGTGTGGACAAGTTTAGGTTGTCAAATTTTCAAGACACAGTGAAACAGAACAGTTACATGTACATATACATCATATTACAAGAAGATAAAATTGATATACTATAATTGAAAATATGGCTTTATATAAAACCAATAGTCCCCTCGGCTAAAGACAGCCGAAGGCAGCAATTACGC